TAACACGAAACCTATAAACAAATGCTTAAAAATAGAATATTTAAACATGGGAGGGTGGGTTAGTTCCCTTACCAAAAAAAAGGGGGGGGGGGGTTGTCTAGGCCTAAGATTCCAGCGCCCCTGTGCATTAGTGCACATCAAAGCTACTACATCGACGCCATTGCCTTATAAAAGTAACTGGGGATTTCATGGCGTGTGTGTGCACCTGAAACGAGTCCCCTCTAAAACAGAAATAACATTAAAAAAAAAAAAACGCTTCTCGGGTGGACAAAATCTGGCCTTGGCTTTTATAACGTGCCATTCTTGACTTTTGAAATGCATTTCCCAGATCTGTTCCCTGCTCAACCTTTGACCCCTGTCAGGGTAGATTTTAAAAATGCAGCCACACGTTGCTGCAACCACTAAAGTCAGTGGGATAATTCGTTTCGTAGCATTTATGTTATACAGGCCAACACTGCACGTCTAGACTCTAGCTAGACTATACCGTGGTTTGTTTCGTTGCTATTTGGCTGATCGCCTAGTTGTGGTTTTTTAACAATCCAGTTTGAGGCAGGGGCAAAGAAAAAATTGAAAGATTCTCCCAGGAGCCAAAAACATTTATAATTCCTTTACTGTTTCTGAAGATATAGCAGAAATATCTAAGAGGAGGAGAAGGAAATGGCGGGGGGGGGGGGGGGGGGAAGGGGGTTATAAACATTGCCGTTGCGCGTTGGTAAATTTGACTCTTCACAGCCCTCTGTCATCATTATCAGCCGCAGCACCACCACCATTATCATCAGTGAATGTAAAGGTAAAGGTGAGAGAATCAACTTCATTGCATCGCGTTTTATCCAAAATGGTTCAATCTCTCTCCACAGAACAGCCGGCTGTCTGCCGAGAGCATCGCACAGAGCACGACCTCATTAGCTCCGACGACGATCCCCATGAATCTCCGTAAAAATTGCACTCGCGAACTGAACGGCGCCACAGTAAACCGAACCTACCACCTTCAGAGCGCGAGGCAAACGGCTTGACCACTTCACCACGGAGATCCCTACCGTACCGAGGTGTCGGTACTGAGTACCGTTGCGTACCGCCAGCAGAAAAACCCTGGTATTTTATATCATCCATCCATTTTCCCGAATGTGCTCGCCCAGTCATCAGATCTTTTAACGTATAACACCTGTGTCGGTATGTTTGTGGTGGCATTATAAGCAGCTGACCATACTATCTGATTTTCTGCTTCTCAGCTTGGCGCAAGGTGTTGTTCCCGCAGGCTGTCTGATAGTATCACAGCTCACACGGTCTCGAATAGTTGAGTCGGCGGCTTTCTCCAGCCTTCTGAACAATCACTTTTCAGACAGATGCTCCTGAACCAGGCAGATCATCTAACATTTTCTCCCTCTGCCTCTCTTCCCCTTAAACTTTCTGGCTGTCACAACATACTCCCGTTTTCTTCTTTTCACTAAGTGCCCCAAGAAAGTACATTTACTGCTTCTGACGCACTTAATCAGTTTTCTTTGCCCGTTATTTTCTTCCTTTACCTATGTGGGTTCTGGGCCCCCATTATGGGAGAAACAAGAACAAACCCACTGCTTACCCAAAAGCATGAAGTAAGAATCGACCAATTGAGGAAGTACAGCTGCCTGAGAGGCAAGGAACTATCTGCATAAAAATGAATCAGATCTGTAAAACGAATGTGGACGCAAAACTCAGGGTTTGGACTAGAGCCCAGGAGTGGACGAACAACCAGAGCTTACTGCAGAAGTTTACAGTCAATGAACGCGAAGAAGACGTTTTTCCTGCCTGACGTTGTTAGTACACTTTTTGTTTTTGTTTTTTGTTCACGATGTACTCACTCAAGGATTCGCACCCAAAACTTTCGGACCGAGAGGCAGGCGGCAGCCTCTGCTGTGTGGGGGCACCCGACCACTAAAAACAAAATAAAACAAAGTAAAGAACCATTTTAGGGCCATTAGTGCATAGAGCATGTGATGCTTAACTCTTTTTTAATAGACAAGTGGGTACTCGATTAGGGGTGGGGGGGGGGGGGGGGGGTCTTTGAGCCTGAGAATTTAGAGTAGGGCTATTTTACTGGAGGCCAGACAGCCAAATCTGGCCCGCGAAGACCTAGCAAATCTGGCCTGCGAAGACCTAGAAAATCTGGCCCGCGGAGACCTAGCAAATCTGGCCCGCGGAGACCTATCAAATCTGGCCCGCGATAATTTTCAGTTGTATTGTATTATATATCTTTCTGTGCTTAGGCTGGGCTCGATCTTCTGGCCCGTAGCGGCGATCGCCACTTTCAAAACGTTGGCCCCTAAGTAAACTTACTTGAACTGCCCTGTTTAAAGAGCACCCTGACTAGTGCTGTCCGCACGAACTGTGCTGGGTGGGGATTTTTTCCCTCCTGTGACCTTAACAGTCCACAATCTTATCAACAATTCCAGCCCGTTTAACAAATAAAAATAGGTGAAGCATAGGCTCCATATCAAGATATACAACAATAGAAATGGCTGCCCATTAAGAAACGAAATAACAAAGGAAGTGGCCACAGCCAGCAGAACACTGGCTATCCGGTAACAAGCGATGCCTTTATAAGCTTGGCTTAAAAAACGCGATCTGACAGAATAATGTCACTTTTTCAAGTTGCCTGTTTGCCAACCCAGTTATGTGGATTTTGTTTCAACAGTATAATTTTCTCGCACGGCTGAGCGCGGAGATTTCTCGGGAAGTACTTTCCTTTCTAGTGTTTGATTTAAGCTGATCTTAAGTGGTCTGCGCATTCAGTGGAAATATAATATCGTTCAATTTGTGTCCCGGCATTTCTTCAACATCTTGAGCTACGTTAGAAATTGCTTCACAGAAACAAGTGTTATTACCCCGTATAAAAGCAATGAATTAATCAAGTAACAGAAATTGTATTGATTGGCACTCATAGAAAGAAGTAGAAAGATAGAAGAACGCACTAGACAACATACAAATCAAAATCTATAGTTACCGTGCTGGGAATTGAACCTGTCACCTCCAGACGGCGTGTGTGCCTCGCCATGAATACAAGTGCACTAAGAACATGGTCAACTAGGCACCCTTATTAACACTATGGTTGATTCATAACTTCGCGTTCCTTCTTTTCTTCTCCCATCCCAACCCCCTTTTTTTCCACGCTGTGTGGCGTTTGTAGTCATGTCATCCACAACTTTCTGTCTCGTGCACTTTCAATCAAATCTTACACAGATGATCTTCCATGCCACGATGTCAAACTGTCCAGCATCTGTTCTCTCTGTATCCCTCTGCCTCCTTTTCCCTCTAACTTTCATAACGTTACGTTGTACTCCAGTTTTCCCCTTCTCATCACATGACCAAAGAATGTAAGTTGTCTCTTTCTGATGTAGGCAATCAGTTCTCTTCGTGAGTCTGTCTCTTTCAAGCGTCTTCATTAGTCTTTTTATCTGTCTAGGGTATTCTCATCATTCGTCTATAAAAACACATCTCGTGACCTACATGGCATGCCAGAAGGGCCCCGTTCAACCTTCAACTGGGGCACCTGTGAGAGGTACACTAGCCTGCATAGTTTTGATCACACAGAGATTACAAACATCTTTTTCTGGATGGCAAGCTAACAATGAAAAAACCCCGATACCCCGATCAACCTTATAGATACCTTATTTCCTGTGTGGGTTCCGAGGTGCCATTATGAGGAGAGAGAAAGAACAGACTCACTACCCCTTAAAGAAGCGTGCTGTAAAAGACGCCTAATTATGCATTTCCTTCGAAGTCAGAGTGCATCTGCCTGTGAGGCAAGGAACCAACAATCTGCATACAAAGCAAGATATCTAAAACGGATCTGCAAACAGAACTCAAGTTGTGGAAAAAGAAAGTAAAGACTAAAAGAGACTAAAGTCCAGAAGTGGGCAAACAACTGGATCTTACTACTAGAGTTTAAACCAGTGAAGTCGAAGCAAAATAAGAAGAAGAAAAAGAATAAGAAGCACTTTATAACTGGAACACCGGTAAAGGTTACAATAGCCTAGAATAACAGTGCCTTCTCCACACAACCTCTGAATTTACTGGGGTTTAGACGGATGCGAACTCGATTCCTAATTCCGAAGATTCCACCGGCTGCGAGCGATTTGCTAGACGACTGCCCTGCGTTGGTTTCGAAAGTGATATCTGGAGCCAGTCGTTTAGGAAGCAATGGCAAACTACTAAACGTAAACTTGCATAGTAAAGTTACAGAAAGAGAGCTGAAATTTACATTTTCCTAATTTGTGGAAGTGCTGAACATTACATTTTTTTCCAATATCGGTGCTAAACACTGCGATTTCCCGACCTCTGGACGAGCTGACCACTGATTTCCCGACATCTAGTCGAGCTGACCACTGATTTCCCGACATCTGGACGAGCTGACCACTGATTTCCCGACCTCTGGACGAGCTGACCACTGATTTCCCGACCTCTGGACGAGCTGACCACTGATTTCCCGACATCTAGTCGAGCTGACCACTGATTTCCCGACATCTGGACGAGCTGGCCACTGATTTCCCGACCTCTGGACGAGCTGACCACTGATTTCCCGACATCTGGACGAGCTGGCTACTGCAATTCCCCATATCTGGGACAGCTGAACATTAAAATTTTTCAGTATCTGAGAGAGCTAAACAATGCGATTTCCTGACATCTGAAAGAGCTGGCCACTGCAGTTTCCACAGGATGTAGAAGAGCTAAACACAATGACTCCTAGCGTCCGGGAGAGATGAATCTGCAATTTACCAATATCTTGGGAAGCTGACAAATGCAATATCCCGATATATGGGAAAGAACCTCACAACTGTCCAATATCTGGAAGAGATAGGGAGTTTGTTTGATAGTATCATCAGTCCATATGGTAAGGGGACCGTAGAGTGTGCTGCTTTCAGAAACTGATCAGGATGTAAGCGAATTAATCGTCTTAATTATTGGACACTACAGTCTGCTACATGTTGTCATTAACTATTCTCTTCACATTTTGTCTTCCACAGTTCCCTGACAGAACCCCAAGCTATACACAGACTGTCTCTCGTGTGTAACACAGGAACCATCACATGGTTTGGGGCCTCTGGGGCCGTTCGGCTGGAAGTGATGCCTTTCCTCGGGGGCAACTTTGGTGCCTGCTTCGTGGCGGAGTCAGAAAATATCAACGTAAAAATATCACAGGAGCATTCTTATATCTCCATACACAAAAATTACAGACTCAAACAAGAAGAGTCACGGACGTTGAAGTTGAATCACGTTTTGACGTCTAGTGCTAGAAGCAGTGAGTTCTGTGTCAGTTCGAACAATGCAGAACCTGTGTTATTGTATATAGAGGCTGTAAGGATTCCTGGGATAACTGGCGTGCCCAAGATTCTATTTCATTATGACTTAGAAAAGGTGGATACCCATTCTCTACTGGATCCAATGAATGGTGAGTTGAATTGTTGTATTCTAGCAGTATTGATGTAAAGTGTGTTACTGTTGGTACTTTTCCGTCTGTGGTGACCTTAGTGCCATAGAAAGGTGTTGGAATCAGAAGCCACTTCGATGGACACTTAAGGCCAGGGACGAAGTTCATCCTGTCCATAGCCTAACGTCTGGGCATTATTACAAAGACCAGATGTTGCCCATGCAGCACGACACCCCTCCCTCCCCTCAGCCTGTCTAGTTTACTCCAAAAAGAAGGATAACTGCGCCAGATCCATATTTCGTATATCAATCAGCAAATAGTGCTGTTTGTATAACGCCTGAATTTGAAATAAAATGTGTTTTTACTCACTGACACAGTCCTTTCTAGTATCTTGTGTTTACGTCCCCATTTTGAAAAAATTAGGCCACACCTCCCCATTGACATGAACTCTAATCGACCAGGCTTAAAAATAGCTACAATGCATTTTCTTGAGACGCAAATGTGCTCATCCATATCACACATCGAATCCCGACAGGTCTGAGAATAATGGTATAGAATCACAAACCTTATGCAAGTCAAAGGTTTTATTTATAAATGCCACAGGCCGGGTTCCGTTCAGTTGCAGGTGATTTGGCAACGTTGATTTTAGCAACAAATGGATGCATTGTGTAGCTGAAACCTGCAAAACGATTAACAAATCCATCACTTGAGCCACCAGGGAAGCGCAAGACAAAAACAGAAAACCACGACACTGGGCTACAACCTGGTGGTATAAGTTAGACGAAAAAAGAAGAAGAAAAAAGCAACGAACACTCAGAGTCGTCGACTGCTCAGTAAGCAGTGACAAACTTCTTCCTCTTGTATTCCATGCTATAGGCGATGATGTCTATCCATAACTTTCCATCTCGTGAACTCACAGGTGATCTTTCATTCTATGATGTTATACTGTCCAGCTCCTTCTCTCTCATGTTTCTCTCCGTTTCTTTTCCCCTCCAACTTCCTCACAGTCATGAACTACTCCTTTTCGTGATATGACCAAAAACTACAGATTATCTCCCTCTGATGTGAATAAACAGTTCTCTTCGTGAGTCAGTTTCTTTCAAGACGTCAGTATTATTATATTTATTTGTCCAGGGTGTTTTCCTAAAACATTTCTAAAACCACATCTCCGCCGATTGAACTAGTGAATGTCAAATTGTCTGTTAAAGCCACAAACTACTAACGAAAGCAGAGATTGGTTTGCCAGTTCTGTAAAGTAAAGGATAGGCAACTAACTTTTTAACCTTCTTCTTCTGCACTAGTAAGCAGTGGCTGCGTGTTTCCCCCAGATTGTATCTGCCTGGTAAAACATTAATTGCTTTTTTCTGTGATGGTTATCTGCGTTTTTGAATAGACCATTATTGTTCTGTTCACAAGCCTGTTAAACATCAAGGCTATGTTCTGATTGTATCTGTTATTCGGGCCTTTCATGTCAACTCTTGTGCTATACATGTCTGAAGTGCACACAAATAGATGTCTTATTCTAATAGCGGGATTCTTATAAATACGGCTATTGTTTTTTTTCCTCCTCAACCTTGTCCTCCTCCCGCTTTTCTTCTTCTTCTTCTTCTTCTTCTTCTTCTTCTTCTTCTTCTTCTTCTTCTTCTTCTTCTTCTTCTTCTTCTTCTTCTTCTTCTTCTTCTTCTTCCCCTCCTACTTCTTCCTGTCTCTTTTATGTTTGTCTTTATTGCATTCTCTCTTTTTTTCTTTCTCTGTTTCCCCCTCTGAGTTGTTTCTTCTACGTAATCGTCTACCCCTTGAATCCAACTCTTCTCTTTTTCTTCCTCTGATCTTTTCCCAGTCTCCCTTCCCTGTCCAAATTGTATCTCTTGTTTCTTATACATGTCACATACTATCAATTACGTCGGAAAGATTGCACTATAAGGCATATAAAAAAATTTCAGCAAAAACGCTGTAATCTGAGTGTGTGCGTGGCAACCACGCGATGTCACGGACGACGCCGAGGTCACGGACAATGCCGACGAGGCCACAGACCCATTCGTGTCAGTTTGTGACATACATTACCCACAATACGCCATAGAAATTCACATATAAACCGCACATACCTTCACAGTAAGGTTCTCATGAGCTGACAACCCCGTCAACAATTCCCAACACCAGCAGGAGATCACACATGAATGCAGTAAACTTGTATGTATGCGACCAGGGCACGCGTGTCTAATGTGACAGATTTAATACCCACATTTGATCACTTCTTTAGTTGTCCGGGATTTGGCGAGGGGAGGAAAACTATTTACTGACATCGTCAGTGTAGTCAGGTTGAAAGAGCACTCAACGTGTAGGGAAGAGAGAAGGACAGCCAGACACAAATGGAAGGACGGGCAGACAGACGGACAGATGGATGGACGGAAGCGCAGACATGCATGCAGACAGTCATCAAGGCTTTGTAAACTAGCAAACAAATTTGAAAACTAACAAAGCAGACATGCAGGCAGACTGTGTGGATGGACATATAAAGTAAAGTAAGTAAAGGACCCTATTCCATGCCTTTCAGGCGTATTGGGTACATAGGGCTAGACCTATATTTTATAGACCAAACGACACTTGGTGGATAATGTGGACAGCATCACTCCGGCCGCCCCTACTTCCCAGAACTGTACTTGGTACCCACTTAAGGCTGGGTCGACCTTGGAGCTAAGGTCATTTTTGAAGACAAAATACTGAACTCCTCAGGAATCGAACCCAAAATTGGGGTACGTCTGCCTGAGAGGCAGTGAGCCAAGAGTCTGCATACAAATAAGCCAGATCTGTGAAACAAATGTGCACGCAACGTTCTAGAAAAGGTTCTGGAACATGACTAACGTCTAGAGGCGACGAACACCCAGAATTGTCTTTCCTGCAGCGTTTATAAAAATGTGAGTGCCCTCCAGACAGTAATGCTCCACAAATCTTTCCTGCAACCAATGCATTTCACTGATATTTAACTCATGTTGTCCTTTATACACCAACATTTTCTGTACAATCTCCGTCCACGAACTGACGCAATGTCAAATCGAAACAAAAGCATCTTGATGTATTGAGGTTTGCCGTGTTCACGTAGCCATTTCTTCACAAAGTAGATAACAGCCTCAGGTCGGTCTGTTCTACTTTCTGAAGCTTTGAGTCTCTCAAACCAGCGAGCCATCGTACTCTTAGCCACTTCACAACTCCCATACACAGCACATAAACCTTATGGATGTTCACGACAATTTCTTTTTCGACAGCCTGATAATTTATTACAAAATGGCTGTTTGTAACGCATATTTTCCACGCCCTGTTTTTTTTTTTTTTTTCAACGGATTACCACAGCTGTTCTTTTTGTCGAAATGAGTAATCTTCAACATATAACTCTGAATTTCTAAATGTTAAACCTACAACTTGTATCTTTCTGTCTTCAATAAAAGAACAATCCTTAGAATTCCCCGGACAGATAACAATAGTAACCTCAATGTTTTGAAAGAGGCGAAGGCTTAAACCATCACGAGAAGAAGGAACCTGGGACATGTTGTGACAACTGGAAAGCCATATGGAATGAGAAAAAGAGGAAGACAACGCGAGAAAATTAATGACAGTCTTTTGTAAGGGCATAGAGAGGTGTCAACAGACGAACTGGTTGGTAGACGCAGTTGCAGATCGCAGACTGTGAAGAGGCATGTCGCCCACGCCAATCGAAAAGACACTTGGTAATGATGACTTTCAGTATTATTAAAAACTAGTATCCAAGAAAGGTGGCTAGACACCCACACTCAGTTTTCACCTCAAGACTTAATTCATCGCCTCTCAGGAGTGGGTCAGTAGGTCAGATTCAGACTAATGAGAGAATTTATTTTTATTATGTTTATACGACGGATCAACATTATGGCACACGGGTGTAACCCATAAGTGCTCGGTTCTACTTCCAACTCAAGCCTGAGAGAAGAATCTCAGAGCAGTGCACGAACTCTGTAGCACCGGAAAAGATCCTGAAATACTTTGCGTACATTTTGAATTCAACATTTTGCCGAGTAGCGCCGTTAGGCTACTCTTTTCGATTTCCAACTGCCAAGAGATTTGTTTTTTCGTGCGCACGAATACACACCCAGAGACCAGGGGAAATACTAGAAATCCACGTGAAAAAACCCCCGCCTTCGTCGGGGCTTGAACCTGGGACCTCCAGCACTCGAGGCGGACACCATAATGCAACAGAGTGTACCAACATATATTGAAGTTTTCCTAGTTTCGGAAACACGGAGATGCGTTCCTGCAACTTGGCACCTGAAAATGCTGAGCATGCACTCCATCACTGTAAATTGTGCTAGTTACAGAGACGCCAAATGACTTGTTCTACCGCAATCAGAACAAAGCTTTATGGCACACAGGAAGATCTGGACTGCATGATAGCTTTCACCAAGGCTACTGGCCGGCCTCCTGATGTAAGGTTTTCTTAAGGATCAAAGAAGATGGCTGAAAGGAAAACGTGTGGCATTACAATTTGATTGTTCCACTTACTTGTTGCGTTCTTACAGGAACTAAACTTGAATGCTTTTTTTTAAAATTGTGAAGTTGTACGCAGGTATGCACCCATTCAGTCAGCCATGAGCCGTGTTCTTTGAGAAGCCAATGTGCTTATTTTCCTGTTTTCTCTTGCAGACTGTCGACCGTGCACGAAGGAAGAGCTGCTGGACTCGTACTGTTCCATGGACTTTGGTGAGTACCATCAACTGGAGATAATTTTTATGCAACGCCATTCATTGCAACAGGTTATTCCATAGTGGTAGCAGTGGCGGTTTTGGTACTGGTGGTAGTAGTGGTGGTGGTAGTAATAGTAGTAGTAGCAGCAGCAGCAGCAGCAGCAGCAATGGTGTGAGCAGCAACAGCAGCAGCATTAATAGGAGTAGTAGTAGTAGTAAGATTAGTGAAATTGTTACACAATGCAGTCTTCGCCCTGTACCAGGGTTAGATTCTTGCAGTGTGTGGTTTAGAGAAAAACCGCTCTCGTGTCTTTCAGACAGTGGAACGAGAGTGGCATCATGGAAGAGATTTAGGCCTAACCGCGCAATATCACTGAAGCCAACCTTCACTGTGGAGACGGCAGGTAGTAGTAATAGCAGCAACAGCAGCAGTATGACACCATTCTTGTGGTTTTTCGACAGTGGTACCAGTGTCCAATCGTGGAAGGTATGCCTCACCACGAAATATTCTTAAAGATAGCAGTAGATTTGCATATCCTCTATACTATAACCAAGGGGATCTCACACACACACGCACGCAAATAATGCTTCATTAGGTACGACCCCCCCCCCCCACCTTATTAAAGTAACCCCCACCGCCCTCCCCCACTTTTTTTCAAACTAGAAACAACCACCATGCCTCCAGTGGCGTAGGGTAGGAAAGGAAAAAAATAAAGGGGGAAGGGACGAGTGCCACGAGTATCATCACTGACGGTGGGGGAAAAAAAGGGGGGGGGGGGCCGGAGGGGTGGTGACAATATGCAAAAATATGTGTACAGTATTTTCTCTTCTTTCTTACATTTCCATTGTGTGAGAGAGGGCAAAATAAAAGGGGGGGGGGGGATGACATATCTGCCCCAGGTATCACCTGCCCCGGCCACGCCACTATCTGCGTCATCCCTCCTACCCTGGGTAAAATAAGAGTAATGGTCCTCTGCTCTACAGGCAGGGCGATGATTAGTGTAATGTACTATTATGAAGTGCCCACAAGTGGAACTCAAGGGCCGGTAATTCTCCACTGTCTTTGTTCCATCGTACTCAGTACACCTCTCTCCAAAGACCTGCCCTGGTGTGTAAGAGCCGCTATCGCTGGTCGGGAACCCATTGTCCACACGGCTTATTATCGCCTGCCTTAAGATAAAGAGACAACCGCCTCGAAGCCGTCGGCTGTTAGGCCAAAAGTGGACTTTCATCAGTGGACCGTGTATTATGTTAGGGGGACAGTTAGTGGTTCATGGTCTGGAAATGAGGTCAGTTTGGTACAATCTGTTAGTGACTTGTCTTTATCTAATCCTTGCCCCTATGGGTACTGGGTATTGAGTCTGTTGGGAGTATTTAGTAATAATCTGCTGAGAATGAAATATATAAAGTCCACGTAGGCGACATTTTTAAACTCGAGTCAGTTGTTACCACAGGAATAAATTTTATTTATGTGTATCTTCTTCTTCTTCGCGTTAACCGGCTGTAAATTCCTGTGGAAAAGTTATGGTTGTTTATCCACGTCTGGAATTTAGACTCGTGCCAGGACCTGAGTTTTGCGTGTACATCCGTTTTTCAAATCTGACTTATTGGTATGCAGACGTGGTATGCAAACGGTTGGTCTCTCAGGTAGATGCACCCGACTTCAAAGGAAACCCCCAATTAATCGACTCTTGCGACATGCTTGTTATGGAGGCAGTGGATATATTCTTATCCCCCCACACTGGGACCCCGGAACCCACACAGGGAGAATGTATCTAATTCTAGCCCCTCTTTTTGGGGTAGCCGTTTGTTGCCAAAGAAATAACACAACTCTGTAGAAGGAACGAAAGAACGGCCAGAAAAATGGTCGTTTTTATTTTTTACTTACTTTAGTTTCCCGGACATAATGTTGTTTATGAGTCAGCTTGCTTCAACACCTAGACCTCTTGTAATGCCAGTGCCTTTTCTCGTCTGGATACTCAGTATTGCAGCCCCTATTCCCTCCCTCCCCGTTTGAGTTCCGAAGTCCCATTTTGTCGTGAAGAACGAACAGTAAGACGTTTGTTGAAATGGGACGTAGAGCCGAAAGGCGCATATATCGCTGCCCATCTGTAAACCGCACCACAGCGCACGAAACACAAGAAGTAAACGAAGAGAAAAAAATTTTCTATAACTACAAAATTTCGATTTTCTTTTGTTTACTGCGAAATTATCCCCGACTGTAATTAGTATAACAGTCGCACTTTACAGTGGGTTTATGTAGACAAAAGAACGGTTACATCACCAAATAAACACGTGTGTGGTTTAAAATGCCATCTTCAGGACAGGAAATGGCGTAGGCATAGATTATCTATTAGATAGTAATTCACCAGCAGGGCTAAAGCAACAGCAGAGGCAGATAGCATTGTCGTCATCAACTTTCGTATTGATATCGCGTAGCGCTTATCAATGAGAGTAGTGCACTCAGGCGTTTCCAGGGACAGCTAGCATTTATCAGCCAAATGGGATGTCAGGGGCATCTTGACTCGTCAAGTGTACAAACTCCTGGCAAGTTAGACGTGTGTAGAAACTTCATGCCCTGCTAAGGTATAGCTGTAAACAACAACACTTCGTGCCAACCGCCTTTTAAATGGCGAACGCAGAAGAAAAAGGAGAAGAAGAATTAAAACTTACATTACCGTGATACCCCACAAACGAAGTATTTTATTTCCCTTCTGCCCTATTTAATTTTGTTGTGCTTCCAAGATGCCCGGTGATTTGTTTTTATGAGGCTTAACATTTTCTTTCCGACAGCTCCAACTCCCTATACAGGATAATGTAACCAAACATGACCTAAATATTGTCGTGGTAGCACTGCCCTTTCCTGCTGTCAAAATAACAAACATAGTCCCAATGATTCGTGTCAAAAGGTCATCTTGTCGTCTGGTTGGTTATTGTCTGTAACTCAAGTCTCGTCAAAATCTTTGCGTACTGCAAGCTGCTGTAGATCGTCTATCATTCTGCAAGTCTCCTGAAATTTGTGTTTCCCGTTTGCATTTTTATGTATTCGTTGGGTTGTTCCTGTGACCTATTTTTGAGAGGGGAAAAAGAATAGACTCCTCTGCTTGACCACCTGGCTACGAAGACCCAGACAGTACTTCTGCTTGGTATCATATTGTCTGCCTGCCTGTCCCGGTCCTTTTCTTTATTTCACCCCATCTCTGGGCCTCTAATATTTCGCCGGGAAGTCCCGGAAAGTCCAATAGTTTAGAGGTGTTAGGGCGTGAAATGAACACCTACTAACTGTAACCTTCACCCCTCCTCCTGTAATACTGTACTTTCCGGGGAATTCCCTATGAAATCATGGAGACCGCGAGATGGGGTGAAATAAAGGAGAAGAACCCCATTCTCTAACAAGGCTAAAACCCTACTAATTAATTTTTTTTTAAATCGAATGTTTTAGGCCGAAAGGCGCAGATGATGTAACCTAGCTGTAAACCACAACACAACGTGCCCTTGTGAGTGCGAACACAAAAGAAGAAACTTTGCTTGAGTTTCGATACCGTTCGATATGTCTGGCTTCTAGTCTGTCGGTTGTAGACAAAGCTGAGATAATTATCTAATGTCTCGGGTTATACCCTATTACCTGGTTTTTCTCCATAGAACTCTTAGTCACATGCCAAGAGTGTCGCACAAAGCACGAACTTCGTAACTCCAGCGACGATCTTTAGAGATCTCTGTTAAAACTGGACTCGTGACCTGAACGTGTCCGGGAAACGAACATCGACTTTCAAAGCGCGAGACAAACAGCTTGACCTCTTCGCTGTGGAGGCCGTCAAAGCGCATATCTTTGCTTTGATATCCTATTATCTGCCTCAGGGCTGCCAATAGGATTTTTGTGTGTGGAAAAACCCAGCTTCGCTAATCAAAAACCCAAGCAATACATAGAAAAAAAAATCCAGATTGTTAAAATGTACAAAATTTATAGTTACGAAACAAAACATTTACCACTTTTATATAAGGATACATTTAAAAATAAACCCAGATTTCCCCAAGGCGTCAAATAAAAACCCAGATCTGTGGGGAAAACCCAGCATTGGCAGCCCTGATCTGCCTTGGGTTGGTTTCCTGTCTATCTGTGGTTGTGTGCTTGTCTTTCTGACTGCTTTCTATGGATGTCTGTCTTTGACTGGCTCTCTGTCTGTGTTGTGCCTATGACTGTCGGTGGCTTTATCTGCAGCTTTCTACTTGTCTGTCTGTGTCTGCGTAGTGGTCTGTCTGCGGCTGTTTACTGACTCTGCTGTTTTATTTTTTCAGTTGTCATTGGCAACCTGATGGAAGTGTCCGAAAACCCAACCAACGACCGTTCCAACATCACTCTCCACGTGAAACAGCTCATTCACCAAAGAGAACCAGACTACTTCCAGAGAGTCAAACGTTCAGATCCACATTTAACAGGTCACGTAACCGTTCCCCGAAAATGCGGACTGCAGCAAAGCGAAGGTGATTTTCTGTTGACTGGAAGGTACAGGCTCAACTCACTGAGCTTGAGGTGCGCATCTTATCTGCACGAGTGGAGAAAGATTCAGCATCAGACGGAGTGCAGCCATGGCTGATGATGCTTGCTGTACCACATAGAACAAGTGACGATCAAAGGCCATGTTGAGATTGCTTGAACTGGCCAATGCGGGCTGACACCATCTGTTCAGTGTAATGAAGTTGGAGATGCCGCATAAGGCTATCGTGAGTCCTTCAGGACCACCGATTCCGTGAGATGTACAAGCCATGCATGTTTACATGCTTGAATGGCAACTGCAGCATTTTCATTTAAGACTGTCTATTGCATGAGGTATACAGGAACATTCACGTCTACATGCCAGAACAGCAACAGTAGCACATGTCTTCCAAGACTTTTTACTTATCAGTAGCACATGTCTTCCAAGACTTTTTACTTATCAGTAGCACATGTCTTCCAAGACTTTTTACTTATCAGTAGCACATGTCTTCCAAGACTTTTTACTTATCAGTAGCACATGTCTTCCAAGACTTTTTACTTATCCCATGAGATGTAAAAAAAGGCATGTGTACATTCACGAATTGCTGCTTCAGCACATGTCTTCCGAAACCTATTATTTCATGAGATGTAGAAAATGCGTGAATCGCAGATTTAGCACATGGCTTCCAAGACTTCTTATCTTAGTCCATGAGATATAGAAAAGGGCAAGTGTACATGCAAGAACTGCAGCTGTTGCACATGTTTTGCAAGTCTTCTTATTCTGTGAGATATTCAGAACATAAATGTGTAGATCTGTGAATGGCATCTATAGTATGTATTACTTCTTCCATTAGTTGCACTGAACATCTATGCATACAAGCACGGAATGCAGAGTTACATGTATTCACTACTGGTTTTGTGAAATGCACATAAGATATGTCTACAAACATGAAGGGTCTCTAGCATGTCATCAAAGATTGGCTTCGTGAAATGTACAGAAGATATTGTAAGTGCACCAACGCAGAGGACAGACTAACTTCTGACATTACTGACTCCACGAATTACACAGAAAGAACATCCCCATTGCCTCTTCTGGGTCGTGTAGAAGACAGTTGCCAGATGCATTTTCTTTGCGTGTGCAAGCTTCTAGATGTTTTGTTATTGCTGTGACTGATCTGTTTTTTCAACAGATTTCACTACTGGAACAACGTAATTATATGGTGACTCTTTTGTTGTGAAATTAGAACCCAGACTTAAGACTAACTAATGACTAACAACAAAATACATCTGTAAGGATTTCCAAGTACGGTACTTATGTGATTGTAATCACCATAAACTTTCCTTTCATCCCTGTGTATTAAGCTGAAAGTACTTCTGTATAAGATGCACACCTGTATTATGAATTTTTACAATGATTGCAAATATAGGAAGATCTAATAAGATGCCACATCGCTGTTCACCATTGTTTTGTATAATACCCTATTCATTTCACACATGGCATAATTCAACATGTATGAACAGCATAATTCATTGAAGTATACATTGTGTCACAATTTCAGCATTTACTTGTAGTCACAATTTCAGTAGATACTCACTAAACATTCCATGGTATCTTCCCGTATTTCTCCATGTATTTGACTCTGCATAAATCCCAACATAAACCAAGGATAGCAAAAATCTTCTTGGGATCTTCGCTGTAGTCTTTTATTCGTCCAGCTCTGCATTACCACAGTCGCAGAAATCAAAGGTACTAGCACCCTAAACTGAAAACAAAAAACGACCCTGTACAGTATCATAGATTGTCTAGGACAACGGATTATTTATGTCAGGCCTACCTTACTTGTGACCTTTGTAATTCAGTAAGTGAATGACGTTCAACCCCACTAGGATCACACAACGAACGATAAACACCCGGTGACACAAAGTGCCAGTATTAAGATGAGAATCATCCAGGCATAAGTCCATGTCCCTCCTACTGAACATACCCGAAGACACCCTATCGGCGGTAGCGTTGCTCTTGTGACCATGGGAGCTGAAAAGGTGAAATATTAATTACTGCAACAGACAAGAAATAAAAAGAAACTCACAATTTTGTTTCCATCGGCAATTAGGTAAAATCTGATATATCGTGGGGAGGGACAATATCTAGGCCTCCATCAAAAATTCCAAACCTCGTCGGGGAGTATTTAATTCTTTGTAAACGTTTGCCATCTTTATAAAAGACCTACAACATGAAGTAATGAGCAGTCACTGCTTTTTTGACAATGTATAGGGATGAATTTCTTCTCAGCCTGAACACCAGACCTGTCTGTAGAATGTAGCTTGACCTTTTTGGTTTGAACAAAGAGCTTTGTAGCGAAACCTGTATAGACTATACAAGTGTTTTCTATGTTCTTCAGAAGCTGGTGGTTCCTTAGTCCGGGCTTGTGATACCACTGGTGAACCAACCGCAGAGATCTTAAGACTTATCTGACTGGCAGGCTGAATGACAGACCATGGATTAGAAAAATAAAACACAATTTATCCACTGGTAAATCAGGTTGCCACCTCTGGGCTGATACCTAAATGATTACCATACCATTCTAAGATTCAACAATCTCAGTCTGGATGGCAGACCAGCAAAGCAGATTTTATACCACGTTCAACCTCTAAAGAAGTTATTATTGGGGCATCTGTAACGGCTCCACCAGCCAGGTGCAATTTGGAAACTCGGATATCATCGAATTCTTGTTACATATGTATAGATCTGTTTAATTTTTAACATAAATGCCAAAGTTGTTCAATAATATGTTGACATGAAAAACAAAGTTGGTCCGTTTCTGTTGTAGATTTCACATTCCTTCTGGGTTTGGGTTAAGCTGACTTAAGAACCAACATCACAACACGTGGAACATTCCTATAACCGCTTGATCCCTATCTTCAGCAGCCAGCACATAGCTCCATTGTAAACGGCGTCTGTATCAGTCTGATTATATGTTCTCTAGGCTTTTCTCTGAGTGTTGAGCGTTGGCCAGATCTCCCTGGTCCCTTCCCACAGAATCATGTGGATCTGAGGGTTGTAGGTTCAAAGCCTCATTAAAAAATGATAACCTTAGCCTCCAGCTCCATGCAGTCTAAACTGGATAGAGCCATAGGAAGTAAATGCGGCCGGCGTGATGTTGACCACATCACCGAGTGGTCTACAGAATATAGGTCTAGCGCTATGTGCCCAATGCACCTAATTGCGTGGAAAATGGTCTTTTACGTTACGAGAGAGAGAGAGATAGAGAGAGAGAGAGAGAGAGAGAGAGAGAGAGAGAGAGAGAGAGAGAGAGAGAGAGAGAGAGAGAGAGAGACTCAAAATGTCTAGACGCTAGAATAATAAACTAATATATAATCACATTCTCGCAGTTGAAGCTCTATTGTATGTGATGTCAAGGGCATAGAATCTCCCATTGTCGCCCGGCCTCAATTGTCTTTAAATCGTGTGTATTATAGGGGCTCCATTTACCCACTGACCTTTGAGAGCACAGTTGGGTCGAAGTGACTTTTTAGCACTGACGACAACATGGCACTTTGTACGTCTGCTAGTTTTGCATAAGATGAGATTTAATTTGTGTGTCTGACAATTCAGCTGTTATTGTCGGCAGATTAGCGTTCGTTGTTAGGAAGTTAGTGGAAGCGTTGTGATAGGTTGTGATATGTTGGTGGAAGCATACATTCTAGGCTGACTGAAAGTGCAAAGATTTTGTGGTAGAAGTTTATATTGTAGGCTGACTAAAAGTGCTGTGATTATTGTCGTTATTGGGGAAAGTTGATATTCTAATCTGACTGTGTGTGCGGTGATTTTTATGGTGGCCATTTATATTCTAGTCTGATTGAATGTGCGGTGACTGTTTGGCTTAAGTATATATTCTAAGCAGACTGAAAGTGTAGTGATTTTGCAAGTGTTTATTCTAGGCAGACTGAAAGTGTGGTGATTTTGCAAGTGTTTATTCTAGGCAGACTGAAAGTGTGGTGATTTTGCAAGTGTTTATTCTAGGCAGACTGAAAGTGTGGTGATTTTGCAAGTGTTTATTCTAGGCAGACTGAAAGTGTGGTGATTTTGCAAGTGTTTATTCTAGGCAGACTGAAAGTATGGTGATTTTGCAAGTGTTTATCCTATGCAGACTGAAAGTGTGGTGATTTTGCAAGTGTTTAATCTAGGCAGGCTGAAAGTGTTGTGATATAGTAGAAGACCTTATATTCGAAACAAAATAATAGTGTTCAAATGAGTCGGCAAAACTGCATATTCTAGGCAGATTTGAAGTTCTGTGATATGTTCATTAAAGGTGTTGATTCTGAGCATACATAAAGAGTTGAGAAATGTTGGTGAAATAGCGTAATCTAGGTAGCCCGAACATGTGATAAGTTGGCACAAATATTCTAGAATCTAGACAAACTTAACGTGTTGTGATATACCGGTGAAGGTGAAAGTTTACCGGTAGTACAGTCGTTGAATGACCTTGGCTTCCAGGTCTATAAAATATAGGTCAAGCCCTATATGCCTAAAGGCGTGGAAAATGGTCCTTTACTTTTTACTTAGAGTCTTTGAGACGTTGGTGAAAGTTAACTCTTAGATATGGTTGTCAAGTTGTTGGGACCTAAGTGAAAGTTGACTGGAAGGACATGCTGGCAGTATTTGGGAAGTTGATGTACATGTACTGGCTAGACTGTCTGTGTGTAGCGGTTGGTACATATTTCTAAGTATTCTGGTAGGACAGTGCTGGTTGGAACAATGTTTTCACCGTCCCTCGCACAAGTGGAGGTGATCAGTTCATGCTGAAGATTGGCAGAACCGCAGGACAACTGGTAAATCATCCCAAACGTTCTGGTTCCTTGATTACCTTTAAATGATCTAGAAGCCGTGCAGAGACCAAGAGCCAAAAATAGCTAGGCCAGTGTTGGCTTGTATTAAGAAATACAGTATGATCAACGCTTCTTTAGAACTTTGATCTGGATTGTACATTTTTGGGTTTGGGTGAAAATGTTTCTGCTAGTGGTTTCTAAATGTTGTTTCTTTGCCTGAAGAGCTGCAACTTTTCAGCTTATTTGACTATGCATAATGTCAGATGATCATATCAAATTATTTTCAGATTTACT